TAATAAGCTTGCGTGCCTTCTGCTTCGGCTGACTTGAGGGCTCGTGGTTCGCCCGACTTCTGACTGGAGCAGCGGGCACTTTCCACTGGCTCTGGTCCGCTTCTCCATCCCACTTCCGCTTCCGCGGTACTCGTGCTGTCCGCGGTTCGTCATCTGCTCTTAGTCGAGCTGGTGGTGTGCACGCAGGCGCTTCGTCAGTGTCGGTGTCGACCTCGACGTCCTTCACATATCTGCCCGGATTGCTTCGTGACAGCACGGGAAATTGTACCCGCTCTGACGCTGTCAAACACCCCATCGACTGGTAGAAATTGATCAAGAAGGGAAAGAGGTGATTGATAGATCCCCCCTTCTCCTCCTGCGCGTGCTGTTGCGTTGCCTTCCACAGAATCCGAGCCCAATGAATCGGAGTTCCTGTCAACGCCAGCTCCACAAACTCCACATGCCAAGATGTCATGTAGGTGGTCCGGTGCTGCTGTAAAATCTGGAGGAGTGCTACCGCGACATTCCTCCGCATGCGATCCTTGTAGTCACGGGTCTTGTACCCGTTCTTGCTCGACTTGCAGTTCTTGAAAAGTGCACCGAAGGAAATTTTTTCTTCTTTCGTGACCTGCACACTCTCACACTTGAATTGGAGGTCGCCTTCCTCTCTCGCGCACCTTCCCAAGACTTGCTCCCAATCACTGACTTGCCACCTCTCCGGATGCAGTCGATAACCGCGCGGAGGTTGGTTCTTCTCCCGCATCCACTCCCGGATCATCTCCGGGCACACCCAATTCCATCCCCATAGGAGGAAGTTGAGCTTCACTGCCAGCAGCTTGTCTTGAAATGCGCGCAGTCCGATCTGCGGCACTTTCAGCAGAACCATCCGTAGTTGAGTTGACCTGGCCATTGAGTTCTTGAAAGTTTCTGCGCACTCCTGCTCTCTGCTCATATAGTGCCAGAGCGCGGTTCGGACCCAACAATATCCGTACCGACGGAAATCGGTGCCTTGAGGGCTGCCGCGAACTCCCTACAACTCTCTGCAAGTCTCCACTGACTCTCTACGTACTCGCGTCGCGAGCTCTGTCTGCGCACTCACTGCAATCTCTATGTGCAAATTCTCTGCGAGTTACTGCGCTACGCACTCTCAACAATTTCCGCACACTCTCCTGCAACGCACTCTCAAAAATCTCTCCGCAAGTTCTCCGCAAATTCTCCTGCTGCGCATCGCGAGCTTGAGCGAATGCCAAATTGAAAATGTGAAAATGAGTCCCTTCCTTTGGCGATCAAGATTGCTCAACGTTTGACACTTGGGCTGGCCGCGGTCCGCTTGAATGCTATGCCGGCGCGGAGGCATAATGGCCCAATTTGCACGCGTGAATTCACGCTCCGCCGTTGTGTGGACTCCCACACTTATACATTCAATCTTGATTCCGCCAATTTTTTCCGACGCCGTTTTCCGTTCGCGTACCGCTGAAGGTGCTTGTGCCGAAGGCACTAGCGACGAAGGCGCTCGCGGTGGAGGTACGGACTTCCGCCATTTCCTTTGTACTTTCTTCTTCCGCCGAAGGCGAGTCCTTCCGCCGAAGGCACATCTTTCCACCGAAGGAGCATCCTAGAGGCGAAGGCATTCTTTCCGCCGAAGTCGAAACCTAACGACGAAGGCGCTAGTGCCGAAGGCGTACGGCCGAAGGCGTCTTAAGTGACGAGGTCGTTTTCCCTGTGATGAAGGCGCTCCGTGTCGCATGCTCCGTATGTCTTCAGCGAAATCTCCTCTGCATGCATCTGTGCCGAAGGCGCTTCAGCCAAAGACACCTCACAATATGAGATTTTGCCAAAGGCGCTCGCCTCAACAAGAACCGTCCGCTCCGTCCAAGGCGCTCGACCTCGGCCTAAGACCCCCCAACTCCTAGATTCTCCGTGACCCGCGATTCTCCCTTTTTACTCTACTTTACGTATCGATTACTATTTACAGCTGCTGCGTGATACTTATTTTCCATAAATGTTTTAATTCCGACCAAAAACAAAAAGTGGATTACCACAAAAGATTAACATCAGGTTTAGCTATTTATAGCTAGGTTGATCGTCGATGTTGGATATATATACCCATGGTTTGTGTATTATCACACAGAACGTTCAGTTTAATCTCACGATGCACTTCCTCGAAAACTTATTCCTTTGTGATGAACCACGTTACATCTTGATGTCCATTGTTTATTATCAGTTGTGTGTTTTGCACTTACACAATCTTCTAATGATTAGTTCACACCTATATTGGCAAGTGAACAAGCTTTGAGTATACTGAAATTTTAAATTACCAAGTGCTTGACTTTCTTTAGAAGCTTGCTTTGTGAAAAATGAAATTAATTTAGAGATAAATGATTACATGGAATATTTAGGCATATCAAAAGTAAAATGATGTAAGAAAAGGAGGTTCCAATCCTTATTACCTATCCAAGTTATATTCAAGGTCAAATCCATTTGCTAAAGTATTAGTTCTTCATTTGCAATCATCAAATACTACTTAGTTGCTTCTTGGATCTACTACTAACTCCAACATCTTGTGATTGTTTTCATCAATGCCTAGAGCATTCAATTAGTGATTCTAAGATTCTATGTGAGGTCTAGAATGAAGAGGAGTTCAAGTTAAATCTGCAAATCGAGCCTATTTGCAACATGAAATTCTCAAATCCCTATTCAATGTTGAACAGATCTACCCACTAGTTTGTGCATCAATGCAACTCGTCTCCGGCACTAAATGTCATCAACCAGCCTCTAATGTATCTCTAGCTTCATCAATATCTCTTTTTACTATCCATGCAACTTTGAAATCTAGTATTTGAAGTTGTGACTGCACAACAATCTCTAAAGCATTCAATGTAGTAAGCAATATCTATCCTCGATCATACCAATTGAGCTTCAAACCTACCTTACAGCAATACCATAAAAGCTATCAACCTATCCTTGGTGTCCTTTACACTTTTCATATGCTTTTTTGATGACTCTAAAGTAGGTCAAGCAGATACTTTAAGTAATCCAATGTGAATTTTTATATATGTGATTTATAATATATTTTTATATGTGAGTATTATTATTAAAAATAAATAAATTTATACAGATATTGAAAAAAAATTGGCAAAAAAGTAAAATTGACCAAAAAAATTAATTGCTGAGATCATTAGATATGAATCATTGCACTTTTAAATTTAAATCATATTCAAAAAATCAACATGTGCATTGATGATTCTTTAATATTTGTCATATATTATTAATAAATTTTTGATGAAAATATATAAAAAAATTCCAATCATTCAAAATCATAATTTGATTGAAATTTATTCAAAATTTTCTAAAAGAAATCATGTTTTGGTTGATATAAAAATGATAAAAAATTTATCTTAAAAGATTATATATATATATATATATATATATATTAGAAAAACTGAAAATTAAAATTAAGATTAAAATTAAAATGATTATATTGTATATATATTCGAAAATCAAAGTTATGGCCATATAATGTTCAGAAAAAATACGTAAATCGGTTGGGTATATAGTTTCAATATTCCTACATTATTTTTGATGATTTATTTTCATTATTATTTATATAAATTAGTTTTGTTAAGATAACCTTCAAGCAAAAATGGTAGATTGTGTGATAAAGTTTTAAAAATAACTTCATGCATACTAATAATTACTTATAAAAATGAGACTTTTGGAAGACTTGAAACTTGAAAACAAAAATTTAAATATACTCCATATAATAAAAGTTATTCATATTATAAGAAATTTTTTTAATAATGAGAAGATTGCAACCTATTTCTATAATAATGATAATAGATTTATTATGATGAATATAAATACAATAAATCATCAAAAATAAAATAAATTTTTCACATTTAGGCTAAAAAGTTTCATTTTCATCTAAAATTTCAAATATTTTTCTTCATGTGGATGTTAAATGAGTTACTGTTCATGTCTTGCTAGTTTATAATCAATAATATAAAAAAAATCAAGACTTTTCTTTGTGGGTATCATATATTTTCATAAAGAATATTACATGGTAACAAATCACTAGACTATCGGGACCTTCTATAAGATTTTTTGTTCCCACGTCAATGTGCTGTTATACCATTTGGGAGGCTAGAATTTCTATACTATTAATTTATCACTATATGAAATTTCTAAAAAATTTCATATTAATCCCCTCACAATGTTTTCCTTTTCACGAGCCAATTCAACAAAATGATTGAAATGTAGCTAGTCCAATGCAAGTGAAGTTGTGATTTTTGAATGCTATCTATAAACAACAAGGTTGAAAACAAGGGATTTGTGAAAAAACTGAACTAGAACTATATACTAAAGCTTCATATTTCATGAAGTTGTAAAAATGTTGGTAAATAACTTGTATCTCTTGTAAACATGTTGTCTAAAGCAAAATATATAAACAGAGATCAGTATCTCTGATAGTCATGCACAACTCTCTAGTAAGATTGAAAATATGGAAATCAATGACAAAATCACAAACAACTCCAAAGCTAAGAAATAAGATATATAATCATTCTTGCATATACACATAAGCCCTCCATCCAAGAAGATAGTTGACCACCGGTATCATGAGATAGAGATATGATACCATGCGTAAAATATTTTCTGATTAATTCTGCTAGCATTACCTACTGAGATTGAATAAAGTGTTGTTCGGCTTAAAAGCATATTAACGTCCTTTTTATAGTAAGTATCTCCTTATAGGGATGAAGTGCAGTCCAAACAGATAAGTAGAAATAAGGACAACTACATCGTATAACGTAGTAACACATGTTGTCACTAGTTTTAGTAATGATTCACAAAGAGTACGAAGTGGTTAGCCCCAGTAGCCAATTTTGGTAGTACGCGATGTTTTGTACAATGGTAGCGCAGCCGAGGCCGCCAAATTGGCGAATTTTTCCGAGCTGAACTTGGACGGAGGCGGTGAAGAAGGTCCCGACAGGGCGATGACACCACACGTTAGGGGCACATGGCGATGGGGACGACTGAGCGGACGCATGGCCTAAAAGTGGCTGAGGGCGATGTGGCCTATTGCATTCCACTCCATAGCAATGGCATTTTCTTGTCGATGGTTGTCTGCGCAGCACTGCATCCGTGAGCGGGTGGTAACGCGATGCTCCTCCGTCCCCGTTGTGGCAGCTGCTCTTGCAGGCTCTCGCTCTTGCTTTCGCGGAGGATGTTGGAATTTGGCGTATGTTTAAATTCCCCTCGATTTTCCGAGGGACTGTCCTGTGAGTATTTTCCCGTGTAGTTGATGTGAATGTGATGGGATTTCTCTTCTTTTATGGTTTTTCACACTGAGCAAGAATGGAATCGTTCTGTTTTGCTACGAATGTTGCTTTAGAATTGTCATTCTGTCTAACATTTCGTTTCGCTAAGGGTTTAGGACCAGGCCCGACAGTATGTTTGGTGTTTTCTGAGGCAATGTTGTATTTCGCTCCTAAAAGTACTGCGTACTTGAATCGACAAGTCCTCGGTATTCAGAATTGACTAAGATGTCCACTCTTTGCAGGCTAAGCGAAATTTTTACGTTAGGAACAAGTATTTGATCTGCCGCAACTCACATTCACTTTTGTTCTTTAAATTGCCTGATTATGAATCTCTGCACTACGAAGTTCCGGCCTGCTTTGATCCTTTCCCAATTTCTTCTCTCTGTTTCTGTCTATTTCTCGCTTACTGAATTTTCTTCAACTTTCGTGGCGCTCTTGCAGTTTTTTCTCAAGACTCGTGTTAACAGGTTCGAAGTATACAGTCTCACGAGAATTATTGGCTGCGAAAGAGGTCAGCCACGTAGCACGAAGGAAAACATTTTGAGTGGAATTCGCGGGTTCCATTCCTTTTTGAATTTTAGAGATGGCAATTACGTGCCCTGCAAGGCTTTCCTTTTGCCGTACAGAGACACTTTCAAACGCAGTATGTAGTCTAAAGCAGAGGAGTCGAGTATGCTCGAAGAGCATTTGCATAAACTCCAGCGTCAGAGGAGCTGCACTTTTTGCCTCAAAAAATTCTGTCTCAACTGCTAAGCTGAAAGTCAAACGATCCTCCTGTCCAGCCTATGGTTCTCGTCAGTCATATGGGATGCCAGTTATTCAAAATCAAATGGTCAAGTTCCAGTCAAACAGGACAGTTAGTCTTCCTTTTGCTGAAGGAACTTCCCCTGCTTTAGAATATCTCAAAGAACCCGAGAGAGTTGTTCGAGTCACATTTCCGGATTCAGCTCGAATAAACTACATTGGCGATTCAGTATGGAGATCAAGGCTGAAACCGATCACGTTCATCAGCGTTACAGCAACACCTATCTGTGATATCATGTAGGTTTCCACACGTCCTCTTTGCACCAGCAGTAAACTTCACTTCGAGATGAATGTACACTCTATAGCATTTCTTTCGTTCTTCCTGCTGAATATGCGTCTTAGTAAGTGGTTAGTTTCCAGACTTTACTGTCAGCAGCAATCTAACCTCTCACTCGTTTTGTTTTCAAGGAAGCATTTGTTCTCTTCTTGCGCAATGATTACCGCCTTCGTTCTAAGTAAACGTACTGTAACTAGATTGTCTTGCGCAATGATTACCTCCTTCGTTCTAAGTAAATGTAGTGTACTTACTATTGCATCCACATGCCTTCATTCGTCAGGGTCTACAACGAGGACGACGCTCTTCGGATATTTTCGGATAAGCTTCATCTGGACTTCACTGGCGTCCCTGATCAATTCAAGAATTTGTACATAGACTTTCAACTGAAAGGCTCTTTGCGAGTGAATAAACAAGGATCCAAGGTAGGTCGAGTCAAGTTTGATGGGACTGTATCATTAGTTCTGGGAACAGACCTACCCATGCCATTTTCCTTCCTCCCTGAGGCTCTACTCACAGGTGCAGGCGACAGTATCCTAAATACAATTTTGGGTGCTATGGAATCAGCACTAGTCAAAGGAATTATAGATGACTACCACTCTTGGTGCCGGGTAAAGTCGGAAGGAGAGATGGTAACAGCTAAACGATCTAAGTAGTGTAAGATTAGAATTCCAGCTGTACAGAATTTCAATGACACTGGCTTTTCGAGAGAGAAAAAGTCAAGACTCAGAAATGTCGCATCCCAGTGTCTAGCACACGAAATACGTAGAGTGTAGGTCTCCGAGATTCGCAAGTTACGAGCCTTGGGGAAGTTTAGAAAATCTGTTCCTTTCTGTATTATAATTGGTTTGAACTAACAACAGCAGTGAAGTATAATTTAATCATGGTCCTTGCAATATTCTGTTGTCACCATTAACGACCATAACAACATATTTCTTTTTGCAATGTTTACTTGCTATTGTCTTAACCCAAGCTTGGAATTATCTATGATTTTTATTTCATTGTTCTATAATACTTCAAAATTATTGTCTCTAAATAGATCTGTTTAACTTTATATCCAAAGTTGCAGTTGATGCAATGGTGGGTTTAGGGTTAGATGGTTGTATGACTGAGTAAATATCTCATATTTAAAAGATCCTAGAGCAATTATCTGATTTTATGGAGAAAACAAACTATGGTACTCCTGATTTATGAAGGAAAAGTTTTTTTCAAGCAGTAATTGTGAATGAAACAAATAACATACTAACTGATTAGAGAGTATGTATAAATATACACCAACCAAATATCTGTAATCAAATATAATTGATGGAATTTTTTTATTGTTTTGAACATTTGTCTTAATTTTTAAAGTCTTGTTTAACTACTTGATACGTTAAACTCATCATTCTTTTGCTGCATTTTGTGGACATTGAACATGATCATGGATGAAGAAGAGACACCTATCTTTATGAACATGACAAAATGAACTGTTTTGGTCATAGCTAAACGTAAACCCTCCTTGAAATTATTTGTCCCTATCAATAGTTTGGAAATTTTGGATCGTTAGGCTTATACATTGAAGCTCAATTTCTTTTAACTACTCATATATCTTATAATAGAATACTAACATTGACCTATGTCACAAATTTATTATCTCGAGGCTGCATGCTTCATTATTGTATTACTATACAATAACAATAGAGGAATGTTAAAACTATCACACAAATTGTTAAAATGATCACACTTGGATACTCAAAAAGTTAAAACAACCCTTACTACGCTTTTGAGGTCTTGTCAAAGGACTTATTCGTCCTCCTTCCATCTGGCAGATTCCGTGGCATCCACACCAGACAAAGCTTACCTGCTCCTGGTGCAAACAATATTAATCGCAAGTGCTATCGGCTCGTTCACATCGAATTTCTCAACGAATATGACATGCACGAAACTGAGATGGTCATAAAGAATGCGGGCACTCGGAGCATTGTACTGCATTTGCATTTGATCTCCGCAACTGTCAGCCTCTGCTTGGCCCTTAGAAGCTCTTGAATCTCTCTAAAATTTGGTTTTGACAGGTGATTTGTCTATGGTCGTTTTAACATTTCCCTAATTATATTATATAGTATTATAGAAAAAAGTTCTTGGAAAATAAAATCTAATTTAATCTTTCAATGCATGATATCCAAACCAGGTTATCATGCAAATCAAAATTATTTTTTCCTTTTGGAATAATTTGCATCATCCTTGTATTTGATAAATTTATCACAAATTTATCAATTTTTTTATTATAATCATCATGCAACATTAATTATGAACCTTGCTTTATTCCAAACATAACATCCTTGTTATGGTAACACACAACTATATACATCAGTTCTTTGAAATTTGCAAGATTAGAAAACTTTAGAAATAACGATTGAGTGAAAAGATTTTATAATCAATTATCCCGTCCGCCATTGGCATGGGGTTCACAACTCATCCCGGGGCGTGACCCGGCCCCACCCTCGCCGCCGTCATCCCTAAATCGCGCAGAATGGCTTGTCTTACCTAGCGCATCAGGAAAACAATTTGATAGTGTATATTTAATTGTTTGAAATATATTGATAGATATTTTCAATCAACTACTTGCAATTATACTTCAAATTTCCAACCCTCTCTCCAACTAAAACAATTTATTTATAGGATATAACAAACATTTATGCGGATAGATATGAGTGAATCATACAAGTAAAGCACTGTTACAATAAATGATTTTGATTAGAGAAATTTTTTGACTTTCATAGCAAAAAGTTATTAGAATTTCTATAATATAATTGACAATTGCCTCAGATCTATTGATATTCGATGAAGAAATAATACAAAAATTTCTAATTAACTTAAAACTAGTCAGTTCAAGATGTAAATATGAGTACATAATTTAATTAGTGACAGTAAAAAAATTTCAACATATGGTAGGAAAATTATATCGTAGTTTAAGAGAAAATTTTTTTGTATAAATGTATTTTTTGTAAATTTAAGTCAAAATTTAAAGGAACAAGATTGATCTTAATTTTTCCACACATATTTTATAAATGAAAGGTAATTTGAATGTTATTCATTAGAAAAATTTTCTTTATTGTGTTAGATTTCATTTCATTGAATGTTGACAAATATGAAAGAAAAAATCAAATTCAATGAATGATGATAGATCCTTTATACAAAATAAAAAAATTCATTTTATTTTGTTTTAAAAATCAAAGTAGAATAATGGAAAACTAAATTACCTTCAGCATCTTTCAAACTAAAATTAAAAATTATTCACAAGTATCACTTTAAAATATTCATATTTGCAAATTATTCATATAAATTTTGAAACACTTGATATATTTTGACATAATAATCTTAATAATTTTTTATGTTTTAACTTCTGTTTATTTAAAAATTGATAATTTGATTTAATTTTCTGGAGGCAACTAAAAAATTTTATATTTAAGTTTGAATTTAATTTTTTTTTGAAAATCACAAATTATATTTAGTATATTTTATCGTTTAAAAAAGGTAAATTTCAAAAATTTTAATTTATTTCAAATTTTTTAATGCTAGAATTATGAAATTTTATGATCAAAAATTAGTCTTGAGATTTCTAGAAATAATAATTTGACAAAAATAATGCTCAAATAAACATTTAGCATTTTTTCAAGCAAAACTAACAAATGATGATGCATAATGATGACATATCAATTCATACTTAAGAGCATAAAAACAATTTGAATGAATAGCTTTGAATTATGTTCAATAATTTATTTTTATGTACATGATCACAAGATTTTTGTATTTATAGGCATTTATTGGAATCATGTATGAAAAAATATGTTTAAAAAGAAAAATTTAATAGATATAAGTCCAGTTATTATTATTGAATGCAAATGCTTATCTATTAAAAAAACTAAATATTTATGTCTATAAGAAAAAATCTTTACTTTTACTTATTCAATACAACTCTTAAAATAATGGCATCAAAATTATTATTTTTTCAAAAATTTTAAAATATCAGTTATCAAATTACAGTTGATTTTGATAAGGATAATATAATTGTCAGTTGATATGATGTAATTACATATCAATTCATCATGATTTTATTCATCATCAATTTGATGAAGCATACTCGATATTAGATTATTTATTATCTCAAAAATTTGTCAAAATAAGTAATTGATATATATATATATATATATATATTTCTTTATTTAATGAAGAGTTTATGTTTAATATTACCAGAAAACTATCGAAACATAGGTATAATCATGTTTTAGTTGGAGTGGTTATGGATGGAGAGAACAAAAGAATGGTATTAAAGTGCATTATCTGATGAGCGAATTGCAGCATAATAATTATTTGGAGATTGAAATTAATGTGTTCTGATTATTTAGCTGCATGGATGAAGAGTAACTTGAGATTCCAAAATCAGCAAAGAACTGTCAGTCTTATTGCATGATGGGTTTCAACGCCCTTACATTCTGTTTAACAAAATATTTAGATTTCATACCCACTCACTAGAATATATTTTTTATTTTTCAAGAAAAGTTTGGAATCTATGCAGGTTTAGATTTGAAATTTTTTAATACCAATGCAGATTTTTCCATATTGGCATAATTTCACATACATAATAATTAAATGTGCTTTTTTCCACTTTTGATTAAAATTTTTGTTTTTTACTCTTTTTAATTTAAAATTTTGAATTAAAAATTAGTAAAGTTGAAAAAGTAATCAGCTATAATAGTGGTAAAATTTTTAATATCTATTCATGTATATATGTAGCAAGAATTCATTTTGATAATGAAAAATTGATGATTGTTTATTTTATATTTAAAAATATATATATATATATATATATACATGATTATCTAACCAAAATATAGACGGTTTCACGTGCATATTAAGTTATTAAATTATCAAAAATTCAACGAACACTCTGATTGAATGAAGCTATTTATACATTATTTTTTTCATTAATTGATTGCATGTTTTAGATTGAGTTTGAATTTCATATATGTACAACACGATTATGTTTATAAATTTTGTGAATGATGATAAAATAAATTAAAGCAGATAGATTATACTTCTAGTTTCTTATGAAATATGGAAATTGTTGAGTAGCATATGGATGAGAATGTTTAAATGAAACTTTAACCAAAGAGTTTATAGTGTACTTGATATTTACATTATAAAGCATGATCTACTGAAGCATGATCAAACATGAGACAAGGCGGATCCTGCTGCTGTAGGGTTTTAATGTCATCATCTCCGAAGCCGTTCGTATAAGATTTTCTCAAACTCAAGCTTTTGTTTGTGGAGCGGGTAGAAAACTTCAGTGGAACATTGGACTTACACATCTTCCGCCAAAGATGGTGGTGACTGCTCGTCTGTCCGCTCGAACCAGAAAACAGAGTTGATGAGTCCACGTCTTGCGTGCAGTCTTAAAATTCAGCCGCTTTGCACGAGAAGATGATCTGAAGATTCAGAAAATATAATGATCTAAACTGACAGTGCAAACCGTGAAGTGGATTATGTCTGTTTATTGTCTGTAGACTCGACGTGGACAAATGTTCCAATGACTGTATCTCTAAGTATGGATTTCTTCCACAAAATTTTGATTATCAAACGAGCGCTGAACATTGGAAAAGCGTATCGCTCTCCCTCATTTTCAGGGTGCCTTATTGCGCGACAAATTTGGGTGGGACTTGTCAAAGTATTCTTACCTTGTGGATTCAAAACCTGGTCTTTGCTCGATATGCATGTGTTGGATAGTCGTGCCTTATCCTGTAGACATCTGATCTATTATCAGTCATGAGTCATCATACCCTCTGTCAACATATGATTCTTGCAGTCTAATCTTCGAGAATCTGACTGTTGCTATATTCGTCATAGCTGGAACATGGTCCTCGATGACTATGCGATAGAAATCTCCCCTCCGATTCTACAGAAAAAGCGCATAGTGACTCGGTGGAAACACAGCAGTCTTGAAGAGACCCATGTACTAGATTTGTATGAAACTAAAATAGCGGGAAAGTATGTGTGTTTGTGATGAAGTGTGCTCGACATCGTCTTGTCTGTCCATTTTCGCATATCTGTCTGAAATGTACAAGGAACCTCATACGATTCAGTATGAATGCCGGGATGAAAGAACGTTGCATGCTTGGGCGTACTGCAGGGATCACATTCGTGAAGATTCATATTCCGTTCATGCACGAAGGACATGCATTTTATGACAAAGTGCAGTTTGCGCCGAAATGCTTTACAACGCATGTCGGAAATGTAATCTTCTCCAATGTATATGCCTGTCATTACAATACGATATGCTACCAGAACTCACAGAAGCTGAACGTGGCTGTACGTATTTGCCAGTCGCAAACTATGCAATATACATGAAACACTCAGGAGTTCGAGTGCCTTAGCTATTCGGCCCTAAGGATTTCAACCAGTCTAACTGGTTGAAAACTGGTCTACAACCCTGCAGTAGACATGCAAGGGCACCAGATCATAAAGTAGTAGTCTGCAAAAGCGAGAGGAAGAAATATCAGAAGACTTTGTTTGTCTCTTCCTTGCACACGGGGCCAACCATTGATCCAAAATAATACAACTGAAAACAATATTAAAAGATTTATAACACAGAAAACTTACAACTTCCTCAGCACGAGACAGAGCCACTTTTCTTTTTGCTGTACGATATTCCAGCTGATCTTTAGTCCTGTCACGGATCAGGGGAGGCATGTTTAGCATCCTGACACTTAAAATAGTTGATAACCAAAACTGTACGTAAGAGCAGTGCTTGCATAAGTAGTTTTACTTTGTAAGTACAGTCGTACCAAATTCAGATGAAAAAATCCGAATAATTCATTCTTGACAGGTGCAAGAAATACACACTTGCATTTGGAAAGATGTATTGTAAGTTTCGGTTCCAATTTATCTTGGTTATTGCGGATAACAGTTAAACTTGAACAAACTTACAGTTACCAGCATGTTGTTTATCGATGTATGGGATTGCAAAAACGGAGTGCACTTATCATATTCGAATGTAAGAGATGGCGCATAATTGTGGCAAAATCCGCACGAAGTACTTCAGTTAAAACACGAAAATTATGCTGCAATCAACGTATTACTTTTTGCTCATACTTGATGAATCTGCAGGACTAAGTGAATGTCAGAATGAAAACTTTCTTACAGCTGGAAAGGCTGCGTGTAGGGGGTAGGCTTAAACTTTTATATGCCCTTAAAATCTTCAGCAGAAAACCTTCGGTTACGAAAGCTATAAACGACGGCGTTGAAAGTGGTGATTTAGTTCAACCTTCATTGGAGCTTTGTGCAATAAACTCCCATATTTCAGGCTAGAATTCTTCGTGCAGGGTATGCGCCACTTAAAGATCATTATAAGATCCTGCTGGACGACATCCTCGTCTGAAAGTTACACGTAGATTCCATCGAGGAGAAGCAAAAGGTACAGGATCGAGTGAAGTTCAAGCATCTAAAAACGTACAAGTTTTGGCGCCTACTTGATGCGTGAAAGGTTAGCTGGGCGGATTGATATGGCAGGTACAGCTCGGCTTGACATGGATCCACGATCCCCAGGTACCTTGCGGTGGGAGCACATGTCTGTCCGAATTTCAGGAGCGAATTTGGGAATGTGCGAGATGATTCTCTGGTGCGCACTGAACCGGCCCTTTAGTTTAAGGGAGGAGAGCAGTCGATCGCAATCGACTGTATTCAGTCACAGCTTCTCGAGGTCTTCTCACTCGGAAAGCTAAACTTTGAAAAGGGTAGATCTCTGATTTTTGAGATCGCAGAGTCTCGGCAGAGGAGGTTGTCTGGACTGTATGCCCTGTCCTGCCAACACTCGTTTGGCACAGACAGATACATCCCGATTCGAAAGTTTCACAGATAGTAGCATATAGTTCTAGTTTATGGAGGGACATTCCTCGAGAGACGCGCGAATTTCCGGAGTACATGAGCAATTCAGTCGATGGAAGCGGTCCTCCACACACCGAAAGAACAGAGCTCAAGGTTTGTGCTACAGTCAGTGAGCTCCTGTTGAGCCTCTTGCAAGTTGCAAGTTTCAGATGTAAAACGACATGGAGGAGAGGACAGAAGAAGATCTCATCCATTAGACTTTCAGATTTCTATGGTTACGAGGAAGTTCATGCTTTCAACTTCCAAACAGTCACGCCTAGGTTCTGCTCTGCGTGTATGTTGATATTCCATGTCATGAGCTACCGATCAAGCGATGTCCACTGTCAGCGATGCTACTTTCAGACCAGGATCTCGTCCAGTCAGATCTTTTTAGGATGCTCTTGATATTATGTGATCTGTCCATGAGTTAATTTTTGGGAGATTTAGGTCTCGCGTCTGTGGTAGATCGATCTTCTTCCCTTCCTGTGCAGCCTTCTATAACCCTCCTAAGCATTCCGGTAGCCGCTTTTGGGAGTCTTAAAGTGTGAGCAATTATCGTTTGCAGAGTTCAAAACAGGGAGACCATGATCGCGCGTGGTGTCTTTGTTGAAACCAATTGAAGCAGAGCAATTCGTAACTTTCGAATCGGAGAATACCTAGCTGTGTGACCAATCTCATACAGTTTCTTCAAAATGGGTGACTGGCGTTCGATGTTGAAGTCGCAAGTACGAGAAGCCAACATCAAACGGATGTGAGTTCACCTGATTACAAGTCTCTGTTTGCTTTCTCATTACAAGATCATTGTGTCCCTTTGTGACATTAACTTCAAAGAGAAATACCTTTGCTCATCTTCAATAACGAAATATGCATGATCTGTCGTTTCCATGAAGTGGAAACGACTGGCTCAAAAATAATTTTCTTTCTTGCACATGATTCGACTCTTCTATAATAGTGTCATTTTCAAAGATAATAACATTTGTAATTGGTCGGATATGACGCAGAAAAGAAGTTATGGAGAAGTATGTACCATCAGACGGGCTCGAAGCTGCCCTGTTGAGATTCTCCAAGAACTTTGAGGAGGATTGTTGGAAGAAGGCAAAAGATTTGGTGAGACCTTTGTAGTTCCCTAAGACTCATTATGATTGCAGACTGTGGATAGAGTTGATTCTTTCTAATGGTTATCGCTCTGAGTTTGTTGGAAGGGTAGTAGTTCTGTGCATTCCCTTGTGCCCATTGTTTATTCCTCATCTCAAGTCCTGTACCTATGCAAATCACCTTATAGGGTACACCTTGATATTTAAGGCCTAAATGTTTGGAGTTCAAGTTAGAATGCGAAGTATGCTGATATCTCAATGCTGCATTTCCAGGCGGAGTATAACAAGAAAATCAAAATGGAAATAGAAAGTATAGAGAAGTATGATAAACTTTGTGAGGATAATCCATTTACATCGAGGCAATATGAAGGTTTTCTTGGAGCCATTAAAATGAAATACACCTCTAAGACAGGTAATCTCCTTTCCAAAAAGCTCTAGTATACATGTGGAAGTGTTTGCCAGTCCTTTGTGGTATCCTCGGCAGTGGGCGTTCTATGAATCTCTTGAAATTTCATGTACTGCTATTCTCTCCAGAATTCTGTGTGTAAGAAGGTCAGTTCTCGTTTCTTGCAGTGGCTGCTCCAGAATCCGGAAGAAAGAGGGATCCTGACGAGATCACTCTCGAACAATCAGCCAAAACAGTTCTCAAACGGAAATCGTCATTAAAAGCAGCGGTTTCAACACTTCTTCTCAGCAGCGCCCTCAAAACTGGGAAGAGTAGCCGTTTGGCGATAAAACATGCCGCTTCCGCTCTCCTGCACAAAATCGGGTCCGGAGAGATGCAACAAACTGCGAGTGGACATCCGAACACTCCAGACGTAACTTTATCTAGCAAACTCTCTGAATCTCCAAGCAGCTCGACTGCTGCGCAGGCCCATGCTCGTCATCTGATTCAGAAAAAAAACAAAACTCCTTTAGCTCAGAAAATTAATATGCATATGATGGCATCGGGCCAAGGAGGACCAAATCAGGCACCCGTAACCTGCTGAACTCTCAAATCAGAGATTCTGGGAACCTGAAAGATCAATATACATAGAAGATGAAGTTGCAGCAATACTCTACGTTCATGTTGATGATCGACATGAACATGAACGACATGAAACGTAGAGCTGAATCCAGCATCTCTCTCGATCATCTCTACTCCACAGAATCCTAGAGTAGAGATATATAATTTATGTAAAACTAAAAAGATATATGGGCTTATACATAGCAAACGTGAAGTGCTTCTCATGTACCAGGAAATTACAACCCGGTTATAAATCAACAAAAATCATCTAAAGTTTCCAAAGAGAATATTCTTTTGTACTTTTAAGTGTTGGTATTCTTACAATATCATTCTTACGTGGATTTTAGAGACATCTGTACTCATATTGTAAACAATAGTTAAGGTAGCTGGCTGCAATATATTCCATGCCTTCTCATGAAAGAAAGGGGCCAACTGGATAGTAGAAAATGATAATTACACATCTTTCCTAGACAAGGAATAATACAGGTGTAGGCCCCGTGGTATCCTGATTAGAAACAATTTATACGGAGATTACAACATCCAATACTAGGACTCGACTTGTAGGTTGGGTGTTTCCATGTTAATGCGGAGAATGGGGAGTAGAGGCGCGCGAGGGAGACACGATGCGAAAAGCTTGAAGAATGTTTGGGGCCAGGAGTAACTTTTCATCTGTTCAGATTGCACTTTGCTCATTTTGAATAAAGAATGTATTTCTTTGGTTTCAGTTTCCTAAAAATTAGTGCCTGAATCTATACTAAGCCATTGATCGATTTGAAAAATAGAATTATAAATAGATCTAATAAAAATTATTATCTTATGGCATCAATTAATGAAATTAATGAAGTTCATTGTTAGCGTTTAGTGGTATTATTCAAATCCAACGTAAGACTCATTTTTTTAATTCCTTAATAATAGGAGACATGAGCATCACTTTTATTAGTTTTTTATTTAGCCTACTTTAGCTAAAGTATTTATATCTTTCTATAGAGATCCATGATTTTCAATTATAAATTTTTTTCGCTAGATGTAATGGGGCATATTTTCCATCACGGTACTATTGGGGCTAGCATTGTTAGCCTTATTCGTTCATCTTTGATATGGTCTTATGTTCCCATGGTATTTACTTGCCCATCCCCTATTTTTATCTACAACTGGTTCTCTCTTTCTTTAGCTCTTTTTAATTTCTAGCAGTATACGACGTCCACCTCTCATTTACTGAGATGCGAAGCATGCTATTGTCCAAGATTGGGAATATCAATTATTCACATCTGCCACTCAGTCATAAAAAAAGTTTCTACTTCTCTCCTGTCTATAATATGGGAGCATCCGCGAGGTTGTCATAACTACCGATTAATTCTGTTGGCCATAACACGACTGTACTGTTCTCCTCTGAGGTGAGAAGATATACATATTTTGCAGTTTCTTCCAATTGCCTTAGGACCAATTCTCTTACTACAATCCTCGAAGATTATGCGCGAATGGTTATCAATGTCAAAGAAACTCGGAAATATATTGTATCACGAATTAAATTCAAGGAATCACTAATCAAAGGAAAATGAGCCTCAGGCATGTATGTCAGATGCTGAGACTACTGCCAGCTAAATTAATAAAACGTTGCTACTGTTACACACAAACTAAACCAACTCTTTCTAATTTTTTTCCATCATTTATTTTTAAAGATAACCTTCAAGCTATTCTCCCATTTTACCTCTAGGCTGAACTATAAGATGCGGAGACAGGATTATTTTCCTAAAGTAGAGCTAAAAGTATAATCCGCTAGCTATAACTTATGCGCTAGCCAATCTTCTTAGGAAAGGGATGAAAATCTAGTTCATTTCTTGTACCCACTTACTATCTTTGCACAATCACTGCCAACCGAGTGCATCAAATCTCAGGCGTTAGAATCAGAAATGTTAGCGATTCACAGAAGTCTAGATAAAGAGCACAAAGTCGGGACTGATGTTTATGCTCATGAACATCTATTTTGGGATCCGAACATACTGTCCCACCACTATCATTTTCAAAAAAGAATCACTCGAGTGCAAGCTTTCTCCTCAATCTCATTTCTTATATTAATCCCTTCTTCCTCATTCTTCGTACTCCTCTCATCGGCCATGCTCTTTCAACGTGCCGTCTATGTCTAGAGTCCTCAGGCAGTTCCTGTTTTACACTACACGATACTAATTTAGAAACCAGGTCCAACGATACAGATCAGAATCAAGTACGCAGATTCCACGGAAACTTACGCAGAGTTTCTTGTCTGGCAGCCTAATGACAGGGACAACAGGAGTAACTAATATTACATTGCACTGTGCTATTATCTGCGACTTTTGTAAACAGTACATGTAGCGCTCAGCTTTGACGTGCCTACAGTATGTGGTCAATCCACAAGCGTGCCCTGACTATTCCTGATGCTCTTTCAGCACTTCTAATGTACTGGATTTACAGTTGGATCGATCGAGGACAAGATATGCGTTGTCTAGTGCAGCATAGACAGACTGTACTTCTATGACTATTACAGGAAGATGCATGCGTTGAAGTGGACGTGTGATTTCCCCGCGTCATGAGAATCCCGCATACAGGATGGGGAAGAGTTTATCCACAATGAATTCTTTAATTTGTTTTAGTGTCCCGTGCTCTCGCCTGTATAGCTTTCTACATGAGTGAAGCCGGCGGTGACTTTATAACGTGCTCGAATGTATATTAGGCAGAGAATTAAGAAACGTGAGCCATATTTATCAATCAACTGCGAGATGATTACTTACCAAATACTGGTCAAATCATCGTAAAAAAATTGCATCAATGTCTCAAGCTTTACCTTGTACGGAAGAAGGGATTGTAAAAAATTGTGCACCTTTTACGGCTTTTACTTCCAAAGTCTGCCATTCAGTTACTTTCACTTCTCAGCTGATGGAAACTTGCACTCTAACTGGCACTCATTTTATGTTGAAACTCTGTGACCACGTCTACGACTCTCTGGCTGTTGAAGTCTTCAGCAGTAAAGTCTGACAGACGTACCTACCGGACTGGTCAGAGGCCGTCCTTCCACCAGTGAGGGAGTTCTCACCCATCTCGCTCTGATTGATATCGAGATCGGTCGCCTCCTTTTACTAATTCCGAAGTGGGCACTAGGTGCATTCAAATGTTTTCATCGATCAGTGTCTTCATGCTTTTCAACGTGCTTCTACATATCACACTATCTAGGAATGAATCACAAATTTAAATATTGCTCATGTTTCTCCCTACCTTGCATAGCCTGTCGGAATATTGCTGACCTTCTTGTAACCTGTGCGAACCTGAATGTTGTGATGTGAGAATCTTTCATCAAGTCAGTGAGTTCCAACTGGGGATAAAACCCTCACGTCGTCAGTTCCATTACGATCCCTAGTTTAACTTCCAACATCCACATTTGTCGAAAACAATGATAGATTTCACGGTTTGAGAGACGAATGCGAACATTGTCCAGCGAGGTCGAAACGAACCCCTAAATTCAATGGTCGTCCAAAACAACGTGACTTTCCATTTTTAAGAGCTAGAAATGGAGTGTACGGGGGGTGGGGTGATGTTTGGGCGGTGAGCCATGATACTGCTGGCATATACCACTACTGCTGTGTACCGTGCTTCAGGAGAGGCAGCAAAAGTCTGAAAGTGAGAAGTCAAAAAGCTTTCAGAAACGCCAAGGACTGATGATGAGAGGTGCTTCTTGAATACAGTAACTTATGAAGAGTTCCCCTTAGGTGTAACGAAATGTCTCATTTGAATTTTAAACAAGATTGTGGTGCGTCCTGAAACAGAGTCGTCATCGATCGGTGATTGCTGATTATCAAATTTCTACACAACAAACACGTTGCTAAAATGCTTTTCAGTGACTGAGCTGGAACTAGTTACATTTTGGAAGCATGAACAAGGTCAGTTGTGTCGGCAAAGGTGGTATCGGCCTGTGTGCATTCGATCCGTAGAAGCGTGTCCATGTCATTCCCACAGCATCCTCTTTTTGTGCTGGACATTAAATATGACAAACGTACACTTTTCAGTTTATTATTCGGCGGTGGCCGGCAGGTCGCAAAACAAATTTCTCAAGGTGTCAAGAATTTCCCACAGCACGAGATTGAGCTGTAATCATAATACCGTACCCTGCTCTGACGAATCCCAAATGCCAACTAAATTATTGTCTATCCCTATCCACCTTGTCCCTACGTGTTCTCTGCAGACTACCTTCATGTCGATTCATAACTCTATGAATAGTCACCTCGTTGTTCTCATGCTATATTTCACTCAGCCACTCCTGAAGATCACGTTCAATTGCACATGTCTGAATCCCTGTCACTTACAAAATACCTGCTCTCTATCTTCCAGTCTCGGGGATTCTATTCTGATCCTAGTGACTCGGTCCTGCAGAATGCACACAGAAAGTATCAGCTGATGTCATTTGAAATCCGAAGATGTAAATTTGTTGCATATGATGATTTTCAGTCCGTGAGTCATATCCAAGCGAATCAGCAGTCAATGGCTGCCGCTTAAAATTCGGGGTTTGGAAGAAAAACCGCGGAAAATTCAGATATTTCCATTCCACTTGGCCCATTCCGGCACCACGTGCTCGGTACTACTTGAAGGGATAGGTCAAAGCCTTGAGACATGAAACTGTAATCGTTATAAGAAAAAAATATCCAAACTCGTAGGCTGTTTTCATGCAAAGTCTCGGACTGTAGTAAATATAGAGAGAAAATAGGAAGACCAGCATTTTTGTATCTTACATTTGGCTAAATTGAATTCCTAATGCAGAAACTGGTGAGGTTTAGTGATGTCAAGACGCTGATGAAGTTTCCAAGCTCCAGCCTGTATTGTGAAATACTTTGCAAACCACTGCAAGGTCTGAAAGAAAAAGGAAAAACAATGGATGACGTAAACATCCTTGAAATGGCTGGCGATCGCGTATGAAAATAATATCTAGTTAATTAAAATTGAACGATGCCAATGGCGTGTTTCCAGCCACCTAGAAACAGCTAAGGATCCAGGGAAAATTTCATATTACATTATTTGCAAAATCCAGTTTGGGGCATCCGATTTCGGTTTTGTCTCATGTCTGTACGGCTTGACGGGGTCTTCCCGTCGTTTTTGTCATTTACTCGGACTCGTTGTACATCGAGTAAATGCAATCAACTCTCAACCGAGGTTCGCCGTTATTCTCTTGAGTTTATGGATTAGCTTTACTAGAGGATACTTAGCTGTAAGTATCCGTTGTTTACTGTTTATTTGTTTTACGCTTGTCTTTTGTTACACTCTAAAATTTGGGGTTTTTTTCAGTTCAGCATATTAACCAAATTAAGAAAAAAAAAAGTGTTTTTTCGTTCGTTTATATCACAAAAACTCTCATGGTCCAGAATAAAATCTTCTCTTTGATCTATGTTGTGCTTGCATACAATCTTCGAATGTTCAATTATTCGAATTCGTTAATCTGACCAAGGGATGGTATTTTTTATATACATTGAAATTTGCATCAACATGAATTGCACTTCATTGTATAAGATTATCCATTGCTAATATGTATTATATCCCTAATAACGCTGGCATTTAAACATATTGCTGTGAAATATGACATCAACTTTTCCTTGTATTTTGTGTGATCTGTGTTCATTCTCTATTTCACTCTTTTCAATTATCCTCTTTGAGTTGATCTTTCTGCTGCTCCTAGTGACTCGTCTCATCTCAGATCCTGATTTTTGGACTTATAAAACCTTGTATTCTTTTATATTGAGATCAGTCAGACTTTGTGTAAGTCAAGTTTATCAAGAACTTATTCGAAAATATTTGGTCTGGTCTGGCTGGTAAACTGAAAAATATTGTTTCAAATAAAACACTTAAAGATTTACATACGTTAGATCCATAGTCCTCGAAATGACAGGCGAAATAAATTGGTTCTTGATTGTTGATATCACCTCTTGATGAAGCTGGGAGCAATCCACAAGGCGTCATGAGTATTTTTTCCACCCTAATTCTACCCTTTGTAGGTCTTTGACCTACTAGACCCCAGCTCGGAGAGCCCTTTTCTAAATTCATTATTTCTTAATAAACTTGAACTAAAAGTTTGAAACTTCTCTCTTGAAGTTGATACTTGCTTCAATATCTAAAAGAATATCCAAAAGAATATATATTTTTCTTTGTGGGGGTCTTTTTCCTCACATCGTTGGACACAAAGAAGAAGTAGCAAAGAATTTCAAGAATGACATATACCTACTGTTTCCTCAAGATGCTTAAAAGAAGATGATAGAGTGGGGACCGATAGATATCTGATCCACACGTCTAGAGCTAGATTCAGATGATGATTAAAAAACTAAATGGTAGCAATGGTTTTGATAGGACAAATTTAAGTTTATGGGTATCAATACCTTCGATGTCCGGCAGACTTGTTCCTTGTGTAACAATTTGATTATTGCACCAACCTGGAATCAAGCAAACTGTTCAGAGAATATTTTTTAAAACGTTTCTATTGTTAGGACTGCGTTTTCTATATTTCATTACATCCTCCATACGTCACCGATGCCCTCAAGCATATTTTCGAGTCTACATTGGTCATGGGTACTCACATTTTCCTCCGTTATTGACTTCAAGTTTACTCGACCAGGTAGGTAGGCCGGTAACCCATGGGTTTTTACCTTACTCGTGTCACTATTGTCTACCTTTACCCTTTATTTCTATCTCAGGGAAATTATAGGGTTATCTGATACGGATTCTTAAAGGTTTAAAAGTTACTTTTACATCAGGGTTACCGGGTAATTTCCCTATTACCTCTACCCTAAAGGGTTAAAGATCAGGGTTACCCGGTAATTACTCCATTATCTCTACCTTAAAAGGCAAAGGGTGAAAGTAATTTACCTGGTTAGTACAGTTTACCTCGACCATTTCTGTAAAATGTGCAAAATTACATTCTGAATAATTTTGAGAGTGTCCACATTTTTATTTTTAGCGGGTAAGAGTTTATCGGGTAATTACAGGGTAATCCATATGGCTCTACCTTTACCTTACTTTTACCCTACCCTATAGCCAAACCTCTACCTTTTGCACTTTTACCGGGTAGCCCTAAAAGGTTACCTTGACTAGGCCTAGAGGTAGGTGTGAGAGGCTAACCTCAGAGTCAAAATGTTCAAATATTCTCTAAGCTTCCACGAGCACATGCGTGATGATAGGAGTTTGCCTACTGTGACTCTATCGGGGTATCAGAATTATGTAATTATGATGAATAGTCATCTACACATTCGCAAGATCTTCTTACTCACGGACAAGAAGTCGAAGTAAACTATTAAGTGCGAGGAGGATATTTCAAAGTTTGAATAATCTCTTGTGAGTATGATAGGTTCTTCTCTTCATGGTCACGTCACGAAGATTCAGGATAAGTCGTCGTTTCAAGAGGCTAAATGTTTCTCAGACCTTGTACTGATGTTGTTGAACTCTTGCTTTTAACGGTGAATAAATACCAGATAAATACAGAGGTTCTTCATTCGAGGGACTCATCTCACAAAACAGTGTCTTGCTCTGCATTGGATCTATGTACAAATGTTACACTATTCATTCAAATGATGCCCGATTCCATCATAAAAATTGGGCACTGTTCCAATGACAATCATCCATGTTTTCCATAGCCTTCCAACACAGCTCAGTAATATCCATCTTCATCGAGAAACGTTGACTGTCCAGTGCTGAACAAATTAAGACAGGAAAACTCATATTGATTAGATCACAGCAGGAAACTTTTGCCTTTCTTCGGACTGTATAATGCAACATCTTAGCTTGGAGCAATCCCACATGGTCGACACTGATACGGTAACTTTCACTTGAAATTACTTTCTAAAATACTTCAAGCAGATAAGTGGATTCACCTCAAGAATATCTTTTCGAAATCAAAGCCACGCTAATGGAAGATGATTGTAATAAAAGACATCATATTTTACAGCTGCAATCATACACCCACAGAAGCAAGTATATTGGATTTCTATCTACATGTTGCAAGTGGTCGATTGCAGAGTGAGCTGTTCTTCGGATGCAATCCAATACTTATGTTGCAGTCGTACTTTCATGTCTGGTCTCATGGATAATAACCATGAATGGCGACAGCAGGCCATGGCATCTCAGGGATAGTGTCGAGAGACGGTCGCCACTCGAAATCCTTGTGCCAAGGGTTGGGCGTGCTCAGCCCTACTGAAGATAAATAAGTTTTTCCTGAAGCAGTCTGGTTATAATCCTTGAGCATTGAGTCCAACAGAGACGCGTTGGACTCTTGCTCCTCTTGTTGGCTGAATGCTGAAGAAGAATACAGCGAATCAGAAGAGAAGAGTCTGCTCATATTTCTCTTCGCCTTGTACCTCTTCCTCTTAGTCCTCATTGGGACGGACTGCAAGACAGTGGAGGTTAGACCTCCTGATTGCACTGGCAGCACTAGGTACTGCTGCTTGCACTTCAGCATCTGATCGGGTCCCATAAGCCAGCCCTTGCTGTGTTTGTTTCTTCTGTAACGAGGTCCCGCCTTAACCACAACATGCCTCGGATGTCGCTGCAACACGGCAGACACTCTCACGGGTTTCATATACTCTTCTACCCTTCCATCCGCCAATATCACCACTACCTTTGAGCTCCCTTTGTAGCATGTTATCATGCGGTTTCCCATCTTCGACAGCCACCCAAATATGTACAATGGAAGCCGTGCGTTTAGGACATAGCACACACCAGTGTGAAGTGCTTTGCAGAAGTCATGCAGAAAGGTGGAACTCCATTCGCAGCTCCTAGAAAAGATTTCGAAAACACAAGATGTACAAAGACACCACAGAGTCAGATTGTCTCGTCGTCTGGTCTTGAGAACCTCTCCAGCTAGAGACCACTGCCATCAGTCCGCAACTGGAGATTGCAACGTGCATGTACTACCGACGAGAAATTTTCAATGCTCACGTGCATGCAAATGCATTCCTCAATTGTCTGATCGATATAAAAGAAGCAACTGGAATGTTGGAGTGAATCCGACACTCTTTCGCCACGGAAACCAAGAAGGCAAGGCTGTAGCTTTCCTTCGATTGTGATTCAAGTTGCACACATTTATCACAGAGATGTATACATGTAGATTAATCTTCACTGACAGTAAGGAGGGAAGGAGATACATGCGCACCTCGAACGATTCCATGGTCTGGAGAGCGCCGTGCCAAACGGGAGCAGTGAACTCAGGAGAAAAACACAAGGCTTCAGAATTTATAGACGAAGTACGGGCGTCGCAGAGGCACCCGCATACATTCAAATTTCAGAAACAGTGGGAAATTTCGTGGACAATTGTTCGCAACCTTATCTGTCTTACTCTGATCTGCCTCTGATCCAAATCTTCTATCCATCATGCGGTCGTCTTTCTTGCATCCTAGATACCCAAACTTGTTGACCTCCCTATTCCGCCTTGACCTCCCCTTACATCCCCTCCAACGTTGCTTGTAATTGCATTAAATCTGCACACAAGCGCGACATCCAAAATAGAACCGACATTTACATTTGAGGAGAACTCCCCTCGGGAAGGAAGCCTGTGTCAGCTTGAACGTTGGTTTGCATGCTTCTTTTGTACTCTAGACACGCAACACAACATGGTCCGGTCGAATTCAGGCGTATGCTGACGAGGAAGCTCCGAGAGTTTAGGCTTGGAATAGTATTACCATCTCTTCTTCAAACGTGTTAATTGCTGGCAAAAGTCCAGAAATCAACGCAGTTGTCGTGTTCTCCTAGTCACCACGTGCTTGTCCCTCTCCATAACTTATGACTAACGCTGTGCATGAAATATCTATCACGGGTTGACAAGTTGTGGATTGGGTCCCCTGATGTACCAACACATAGACACTACACTTCTGGAAGTCAAAGTACACCCCGCATGGAGTACACCCAGCATTAGCCCTCACCCGTCCTTCCGATTTGGCCAGGTGATATGGTTATGTGCTTGCCTCGTGACACAGCTCTGTCTTCCTTTGCAACTATTTTGCCTTATGACTAAACAGGTCAACTACACTATTGGTAAGAAGAGGGGCCAATCAAATAGCTAACTCCTCTTAGTTCCACGGCCCTTTGTACTATCCTCACGACCGGTTCTATGTTTCCAGCAGTCAGCAAGATCCTCCAACTAAGGTTGATCTTTTTTCTCAGGCTGCATTGCCATAAGTGTATGTTAATTTATCTGCATATATATGCAGAAGATCCAACAATCTCATCAGAATTCCATTGCAGAAAATAGTTTACAACTGTAAAGTTGGAAGGTTGAGTAGTGGAGAATGGTATATAAATTTACCGGATATTTCTTCTTACGATTCCAAGCTCCAAGTGATAGATTTTGTTTACCGACCGACCACGAATTAGATTGACGTATACTGGTCACGACGGTCAGCCTAGTTGGACGTATGTATATTGAAAATTCCTTGTACAACCAAAAACCCAAATCTGTTAAAGAAATTAGAAAAAAGAGCCTCCAACTTTTGTTCTAGAAGCCGAGTTCCATCCCCCTTGCTTCATAAAACTGTGTAAAGCTTCACAAGGTTCTCAATTTGGAGATGTTATAGTGGTATATGCGCAATATTTTTGCAGCATGCGTCATGTAAGTACATTCAAATCTTTCGATGTGTATGTGTTTCATCGCAGTGCAAAACACTAAAAGTGTTGCATCACTGAATATATTCTATTTTAGTCAAACCAAACTATTTTTTGTTGTGATTTGACACCAGGAAAATATAACCTTATCAGAATGCGAATTCTAGCGTTTGTAGTACTTTGTCACTGAGCTGACCACATCATTTTACTATGTATTCATCTTTGAAAAAAATTATTAAAATATTTTTTATGACTAGTCCAATTAGTAGGACATACTTTTCTAGCATATATCAGACATAGATAGATTTTATTCTATACATATTTCAATTTATAAAAAATATTCATATAAGGCTAGATACTAGTGTTTACATTAATTCATATTACTACTTCTAAAATTTTCATTTCAAGATATTTCATTTCATTTCATTGTTGTATATTTCGAGTCTAGTTTAGCAGTGCATAAATGAAATACAGTTATTCATTATGGTAATTTCGTTATTTTAAAATGAAATAAATATTTATCTTCATTATGGCTTTATTTTGTATAACTTCAGTATAGTTCTAATTCTTTCATCTCATTTTTTTATGTTTTAATAAAATAAGTGTTAAATACAACATGCCAATATCTTAACAACCATATATATGGAAATTAATATTTTTTTGACGCAAATTTTTAAAACATTTTGATTTTCAATTACAATTTTGTGAACCTATCTAATGAAAATAGATTTGTGATTGAACATGGAGATAAAATCATCAATATGCATGTTTGAACTTTGATGATATTGAATTTCAAATACAATATAATTTCTTCTTAATCTCTATTAAAATATTTATTTTGATTATATATTTTTTAGCCAGCTAATAAAAACCATATGTGAGTTTAAACGCTCCTCTCAGACGAATACAGTAAATTTTTTTGATAGCATATAAAATAAACTCAATATTATGAGCTATGAACGTCTAGAAATGCGGTTGAAAATTCAAAGTTTGAGTCCCAAAATACTCAAAAAAATTTATATTAAAAAAATGTATCTTAGTTTTTACGAAAATAAGAAGCAATGATGAAATTCTTCAGTATATCTACTTTGAAAAAATATTTCGTATTCAAATTAAAATTGATACTGTATTACATAGATATTGAAATTTAATCTTGTAAAGGGCTTGGTTAATTAGACAATAGACAATGATACTTCAAAAACGAGGAATGTTTTATGGAGAAGTTTCGAATTGTTTCATGATAAAGATTCTTAACAATGATGAAATGTTTCACACGTATAATGTAAATATACACAAATCCTTATGTTAAATATAAGGATATGCAAATAATTATGTTGTAAGCAGAAATAAGATTTCAAATCCTAAAGTTGGTGTAAATCATGATACATGGCTCACCTCTAGACGTTCGGAGTGATTATACATAGGATAATATATTTCTATATGATTATATATACAATCATAAAAATGGATATAACACTAATTGATTGCGATGCATCTGATCAAATTTTACAAAGACAGAACAGAAGATTTTTAATTTTTTGAAAAAATAATTTTAATCCATATATACGAATTTTGACGAAATAAATATTTAAAAAATAAATTTTAATGGGATAAATCGAGATAATTTTTAATGCATGAGTGTTAAAACAAATAGCGTCAAATTTGGCTGAGACTTCATCAATAGTAAAAAAAAATAAAAAATACTTGGAAATTGTACAATGGTTTACAAGTTAATTTTTTCTAATTATGTATTTTGTTCAAAAATATTATTTTTTTATATCGATAATTTTAACTTTGAATGAAAGCTATTTTTTAATTTAAAAAAAATTATTCCAGAAAAATTCAAAAGCCTAAAGATCATAATAATTTGAGGATAATTCATGGAAATAACAGTCCATGATTATTTCAAGTTTTGGTTTTTGGTTTTTATATTTAATAATTGAGTATGCATATTTGGTTTTATCATCAATAATAAAATTAGGAATTTTATTTTTATATCTAATCATTTCAAGAAAGTCAGGTGTGAAATGTGAAGATCAAAATACCAAAATTAAAATCAAATTTTCAAGTAGTCAATACCAAAATACATTATGTCATAGATTACAGAAAAATTTTCAAGGAAGGATTTTTATTTGAAAATTGAAAAATACTCAAAACTAGGTAGATTTTGAAGAGTTTAGAACAATTAGCCGTCTACCTAAACAGATGAGGGAAAATTCTTTCGCTTATAAAAAATAATGCGCATCATGCACATCTAGCACATTTAAATTTAACATTATTAAACAATTATGCAACTGAAAGACTCAATAAATAATAATTTTGTCCAAAATATGAACTAATTTTATTATATTTTCTTTTCATACCATGCATTTCATGAGTATGACTCTAATGAACATGAAATACGAAAATATAATAATAATTAGATGCTCGATGACTAATTATATTTGAATTATAATTGATAGAATAGATACATATAAAGCTGCTATTGGATGTATTCAAATTTTATATCATAACTATAATCATGAAATGTTTAACACGACCTAATTATGAATACTATATGAAATAAATACTCTAGTTTTATATCTACATTAACCAATCTAAATTGCACGATCGTTCCATCCACAATCATTTAGATTAAATATATTTAGAGGTGTGTTGTCATGACTTACTCTAAATTATAAGTTTTCTATAAAACATAAAATTTTAAAAGATTATTCCAAATAAACAATATGATTTTTTTTTGGTTTACAGTCAGTTTTAACTCGTCTATAACTCGTTGAGCACACAGGCTATGTTTAACAAGGAGAAATTAGCTACTGCTTGTCAGGTCAACAAGCTCGTGCTTACAGAGTTCTTGCACTCCAGTTTTCATGTGCTGTCAAAGCACTTGTTCTAGAATCTGGCGTTGGAAGATTTTAATGTCTGAAACTTTTCGAGTTTCAGACAGAAAAGGTTTCATTATTTCACAGCATCCAGTATTTTTAATATCGGTACTATCCTTCTTCACTTTAACTGGTAGTTTCTTGGCGTATGATTTTCACCTCCTTCTAGGATGTCCATTCAGTGTGCAGACTTTGTTGTCACCAAGCTACTTTATTCTGAGCTTAGTGAGTGTATCTATTTCTTCAAAACCCAATGATATAAACATGATTGTCATTAATCTCTTTTGCTGAACTTTGCATGTGTGAATAATTTCATTTATCGCCTTGCTTCATACAAAATGAGGCAAAAAGATGACTATGGAAGTATGATACGCATTTGTAAAAGCATTTTCAAGAAAAGTTTAATTCAGATGACAATACATGTGAAAGAAATTAATTATGGATCATTCGAGTCCGATTTTTTCTATAACCTATCTAACATATTGGGCTAATGAAAAATAGTTAGGAAAATGTTAAATCATGGACATTAAGTACTTCCCACTAAGCTTTTCATGCACAGTTTGTGGACACAGTATAAGTCAAATGTAATTTTGGCCAAGACACTTACCATCTCGTGAACAATCACGTGGTTTATCGACTGTTATGAAAAAATTGGCAAAACTTAATACTCTTCTTGTTTTGAAAAGATGTTAATATTAACTCAAGTCTTGGGTTAACTCAAGGTATTTTCATTCCAGTTAGGATTAGAAGATTGGCTTAATCCTAGTTAGGATTGGGGTTAGGAATAGGAATTGCATATGTTTAATATTATATATGTCAGTATTAACTCAAGTTTTGGCATAAATTTTAATTAATTTGAATTAGATTTAGGTTTAACCCTAGTTAGGATTGGAGCTAGGGCTGCTACTGCAGTGTACATATAAAAGAGCAATCAACATATTGCATCAAACACTTTGTGGGTTTTCAATAAAGATATCCTTCTTCACCTGAACGTTTTACGAGATTTGCTAAACAGCTATATTTTTGTGGATGTCGCGTTTGTGAATTTCTCTGTGCATTAATTTTATGGATTCTCATGCATTTTCTTTACAATATATCTATGAATAATCATTTTT